GGGTCAGCCATGCCACAGGGCCAGGGGTCCAGCGTCCCCAGGTTGCAGTTGTCTGTCTGTCCATCTGCCTGTCTCCTTCCCCACACTGCCTTCTTGGCAGACTCCCCTTTGGAAAATTAAACGTTGCTTCCAGATGGAAACAACACAGGAAGGCAATTGCATTCATTTTTACAATTGGAAATGCTGGGAAAGAGAAGAGTCCAAGATAACCCTTGTGGACTGAAGAAGAGAAGAAAAAGTCCTTTGGTTTAATTTTTTAAACTGATGATACTGGTGGGGCCGTGGTGGAGGGGAGGAGCAACCCCCCGTACACTGTAGGTGGGAATGGCATTCAGTAGACCCTTTCTGCAAAGCTGTTTGCTAGGACGGATCAAGCCCTTTCAAAGAAACTCCTAGCCTTTGACCCACTAACTTAACTTCCAGGAATTTGTGCTAAGGAAACAATTGGAGACACAGGCAGTAATCCTCCACAAGAATGTGATTTCAGCACTCTTTATTATAGCTGAAGGAAGATAATAACCTGAATGTACACAATAAGAAAAGATTACATAAATCGGGGTGTAGCGTACCACTGTATACCCTGTAGCTCTGAGGATACTCTGAGAGTTGTAGAAAGATGTTCCTGGGGTTATCTGCTAAGATTGTATTTAAAAAAAAAAAATTTTTTTTTCTGTCCTAACATCAGTCATTTGTTATTTTTTGGCCTCATTACTGGGAAAAGTGTTTAATGATTTTTTTGCAATCTATCAAAGCCTGTTTGATGACATCAGAAAATGCTTAAGCAAAAGAAAAATTTTTTTTAAAGAAAGGTTACTAACTGCTAACTCTGTATGTACTATTATCCCCCAGAAAAGTGAGGGACTATGCCAAGATGTTAACAGTGATGATCAGTGGCATAAATTATATATGATTTTATTGCTTTCTTTTGTTTGGATATTTTCCAGTTTTCTACAAGGCCATCTGTGATTTTGCACATCAGAATTAAAGAAGATGAGCTTTCTTACGAATGGTCAGCTGACTGCTTGCTTTATACTGGTGCAGGTTTTAACCCCCGTGGTGTGGAGCCCCGAGGGGGTCTGCCACATCCGTGATAAGGTAGAGGGGCCTGCTGGGCTGCCCTGTCCACAGCCCCGCAGGCAGGCCCTGACTGGTACACCAGATGCCACATCCATCAAGTGAGTCACCGCAGGGGGTGTCAAGCTGATGATATTGCCACACCCTGAACTTGAACTGTCAGCCGCATGCCAGCATGCTGCCAGGCCTCTGAGCCTTCCTAAACCATTATTTCTCCACTGTCCAGTGAATGTCAAAGGGACTGGCTGGCACTGTGTGACTCCTTTTGAGAACACCGTGGACCTGCAAAATCAAGCCAATGGCAAGCGTTCCACTTGAATCCAAACTAGACCAGCAAATGCTCCTTGAAGTTTAAGTGGTTGTCGCTACAGTTGGGCCTTGAGTGGGGGCCTGGCGGGACCCTGGAATATTTAGGGTGAAAACCATGCTGGGGCGTTCAGCCCAGATAGTCCCAGCTAGACAGTGAGGTTGTAGAGAGGCCTTCACAGGGTCATCTGTTCAGATTGTCATGAAATTATTTTCTCGCATCCTAACATCAGTCGTCTGTTATCTTTGGCATCATGAATGGGAAGAGAGTTTGAGAGTTCAATATGGGAGGTTTCAGCGCCAGTGCCAAAGCCGGTCGTTTTGTTTGGGATTTTTTAGGGGTGTCATTTTCTTAGTAACCTATAGCCAGACACTTTGTGGTCAGAGTCTGGGGCCATTATCGTCATCATTGTGCATCTTATTTTCAATCTATGTGTTCTCTGAGTTACATCAAAACTGAAATACAATGTACTCTCTGTTTCCTTGGAGGAACATTTATATGCTTAAAGTCATTCTGTTGCTACGGCATCAGTCATTGTCGTATATGACAGTATTCAGCAGTATTGCTGATGTTGAATTTTATTGATGTAGCTCTGAAGCACTAATAGATAAAGAGCGTAATTCCAATCAGTAGTTTAAAAAAATCATAGAAATACTGTGTATGCACTTTACTGTTACACTTAAACATAGGGATCATAAATTTTAGACTGTGGTCATTTTATAGCAAATAAATGTTATTGCTCTCACTAAAACACAAGCGAACAAATGAAATTCTATTAGTTGTTAAAAATTCAGTTAGTACTGTGGCAACTGACATGGAGATTCACGAGCAAGTTCTCATAACCGTTAGGAGTATCCGGCGTTCCAGCCACACCCCCAGATAATTTCAGCCATTGGTACTGAGCAGCCAAGTACCACTTAGATATCCAGGGATGTGAAAAAAAACATTCAGAACCCACATGGTACTCACAGAATATGTTCCCACCTCTGCCTTTAGGGAAAAGTATAATTCTTGGTACAGTTGAGATAGGAAACTGGAGGTGTCTGCTACTCATAAAACCCACTAAAAAGGAAAAAAGGAAAACTCAAAAGAAAAAAGAAAAAGTCTTAAGGACTCTTTCATTGTCCTGTGCTGGCCACTGACCAAAGGGACAGATTAGTTCAGGCCTCTGGGCCGGGGCTGCTCTTGTAAACCTCCAGATTGTCCCTGGACCGAACTCCAGTTCCTGGGCTGGGCTGCAGTTGGGAAGTCATGGCCAGGCCTTGCCCCCGGGGTCACTGTCTAGTGGGGGCTAGGGGACAGTGGTGAGTCAGGACTGAGAAAGCGAGCCTTTCTTACTGGCTGCAGCTATGGAAGGAACTGCAGGGCTGACTGCCCGATAGAAATGAGGCAGCCCTGTGCTCCAGGGCTCAAGGCAGAATCACGTGGGGGCAGATACTAAGCGAAGCCGAGAGTAACTTATCCCTTAGCTGGTGAATCTTGTCTTACGGTTGTCTTTTAATATGTCCCATCTTGTCAAATACACCGTAAGCCCTTCAAGTTAGGGACTTCGGCAAATGCTAAGTTGGATTCTACTTAACGGTCTTGATCATACACTATGTGTTCAGTAACCAGTCTTTGCTGGATTGATTGAGAAAGAGAGGGGGGGGAAAGCCATACTCTTTTAATTCAGTCTCTTCTATTATATGAATTCCATCTGCTGTATGCATCTACCAGACAGAAGACTGCAGGCGGGATTGGGGATTTTGATGGAATTTACAATGTGTTGAGTCTTACTGAATCTGTCTGTCGCTACATTCCCATTTTTCCTTGCAAATGTGGTAGGCATAGAAAGGAAACTCATAAATCAGTGGTTAAGAAGGTTTCTAGTGCGATGGCTGGGTCTGTAAAGAAGCTTGGCACAGCCAGAGGATCAGAGCAAGCTCTGCTACCCCAGAGGCAGTTCACTGTGACGGCAGGAGCCCTGGGCTTGGAGCCAGGGGATTGGGGTCTGAACCTTGGCCCCATCACTTACAGGCTGGTATCTTCAGGCAAGCTTCACATTGGCCCAAGTTCCCACATCTGTGAAATGGGAATTATAATGGTGCCTCTGGGCGAGCGGGGTGGGTTAAAGGAGATTCATTAATTTACTCAATAATTATTAAGTCCCTACAAGGTGCTGTTTTAAACATTAAAAGATACACCAGTAAACAAAACGAATACAGATCTCTGCTCGTGGAATTTGTTTTCCAGAAGCATAATACACATAGTGGCCTTTAATAAACGTTTCATTCAATTAGTCTGAGGCGATCTGTTGGACTCCCACAATGAGTTTTTGCTGTAGATTTCATAGGCATTTATGTTACAACCGTAGATAATTAAGGCCATTATTGGGCTCTCATCTGGACTGAAGATGTCCCAGTAAGAAGGACATTTATGTGTTCTCACTAAATCCCAGTATGCTAAGAAAGTCTGTTCCCCTGGAATTGGATTGCTGGCATTTTTTTTTTTACCTCCGTAAAGAACTTGGAACCAAATAATCCAGCAGTCGGCTGGGGCTCAGGGGCCACG